TTGAAGGAAAAAAATTTCCCTAACTTTTCATTTATTCAACTCCATTAAACAACTTTCTTATTAATTTTTTATGTTAATTTCTTATGAAATACAAAAAAATAAAAAACCTAATATAATTCTAATAAGCTTTTATTATAAAAATTACCAACTTCTTCGGAAGAGTGTTTTCTTAATCACTTTATCAATAAAATTAAATGAACTGGCACCAAGTAAGAACCAACAAATTATGAACAACAAAACAAAGAGGCATAGTGGCTTTCAATTAGCGGGCCTGAATAACAGACCAAACAAAATCAGGCCAGAAACAGTTCAGAATAAATTGTACAACCCAGCCCGACACTGTTAAAATCCGGGTGTCTGAATATAGACTAGGGTCTTCATTTTCCACACTATATATAAAAGGAAACCCTAATTCCATCTCGGTCGTCTCTCCCCAAAACCATACAAACCTCACTCCGGCGGCGAAAGGAGCAACGAGATCAGTCACCACCACGGTAAAAACCTTCTTCATTGTCTTCTTCCTCCATGATTAATGCTCTTCGTTTGTAACTCTGTATGTTCTAAACTCCATTCTGTCTGAATCTTTCCAGGTGAAGTGCTTGAGAGAGCCTGACAATCCCATCAAGTGTAAGTCCGTTTTGCAATTTCTAGTTCTTTCTCCTCCCCCCGTCCTTTCACTACGCAAATGATCTGTTCTTCTTTGTGCTTGTTTGTAAATTTTGGGATTGAAGTTCCTTTTCTTGTTGTGGTGTCATTTGATTTTGCTGTTGTTAAGGCGCTGATGGTTGTTGTTTGTTCTGCAGCCTGCAAGGCAAGGGGCTCTGATCTCAGAGTTCACTTTAAGGTATGCTAATTTACTTAGTAGCAATTTTTTCTTTTTATTAAATGAGATATATAAATTAATATGCATTAATCCTAATATAGGGAAGAATTTATTTATACATGAATTTTATACATCACATTTATATAAAATATTGATAAATTTATTTTTTTTATTTTTAATAATTAAGATTTATTACAATTTTTTGATAAAAAATAATTATTTTTAATAAATATGATTAAGAAATTAATAAATCTCAATTAATAAAAATAAAAAAAAATTGAAATTTTATATAAATGTGATGTATAAAATTTATATATAAATGCACCCTAACTTATATATACATCTTATGATCCTAAATTGTGAATTTGTGATGAAAAAGAAAAACCCTAAATTATATGTCATATAAAAATAATTAAAATACATTTTAAGAGGGTTCCCCGAATTATCCTGGAGCGTATCCATGCTTTCCCAATGAGCGTTTCCAATCCCAAATAGAGATATGCTAAGGACAGTGTCGCCCTTCAGGGAAATCGTTTGCAATTGGTTGCTGGTTAAAATTTGTAGTCTTCTGCTATGTGTCAAAAAAATAGGAGAGTGGTGGAGCAAGTGCTGAACAGCGACTGCCCTTGTCACTTCTCTTCCAAATCTAATCCAATGGTTATCCATTCTCCTCCATTCTGAAGCCTCCGTCTGCAATATATTCAACCAAAGCAACCCCAAATATCCACTCCCTTTCTCTCTCTCTGTTTTCCCAATTTCAGACATCGTTTCCTCCCTCATTTTTTTCCTGGTAAGATCTTTTTTGTTTCTTGAAAGATTATCACAATTTGTTCTTTGATTCTTGTTTTCCTTCTAATATCTCTTGATAGATGATTTAGCATTTCGTGATTTTTCTAAGGTTTTAGTTTACCTGTTATTTGATCTCAGATCTCAAATCAACGATCTAGGGTTTAACGAAGTTTTCACTTGAATTTTGAATGTGGATTTTGTTGTAGATGGATTGGCAAGGGCAGAAACTAGCAGAGCAGCTGATGCAGATAATGCTGTTGGTATCTGGTGTGGTTGCTTGCGCTACGGGTTACATTTTGGGATCGTTTCAGGTGATGGTGTTGATTTACGCTGGCGGCGTGGTGCTTACCACCTTGATCACCATTCCCAATTGGCCTTTCTTCAATCGCCATCCGCTAAAGTGGCTGGATCCGAGTGAAGTTGAAAAGCATCCCAAACCACAACAGACTGTTAGTTCGAAGAAGAAGCCTGCTAAGAAGTAGGTTTCGTTTATTGATCTTGGGATTTTGGCATTTGCTTGGATCTTTAATTTGATAGATTTTACATTTTATATGAGATGCGGCGGATACTCTAGTGTATTCTGTTTTTGCTAAGATATATGAACTTTGAAATAACTAGAAGGAATTTGTGCTTTATTGGTTTTCATTTTTAGTTATTTGCTTTGTTTACTTATGCAAGTATATTGTATATATCTAGAAATTTCTATTTTGGCCCTTTTGGGGGAAAAGAGGGAGAGGTGTTTATTAATGAATGGAATAAAATGCGTGTGCATTTGTGTAGCTTCGCTTAGAATCCATAACTTTGAAATCTGGGGTAGTTCGTGGGATAGTTTCTTGAAACATCCTGCATCTATATTATTGGAATAGAAGATGTTACGAGAGAGTTGAGTTCTTAAGAAGCTAAATTTCCCATTTTGTTCTTCTGCTGTTATGGAATCATGGCTTTTATTAGACTGGCATATGTGAGATTGATGCATTGGTCTTCCATCTTTGAGAAACTACTACATCTTCTCTACTTGCAAAGAACACTACGTTAGGCATTTTGTATATTACACATATAGAGGTCGTTCTTTGCTCCAAGTTTGCAACACAAAATGATTTCTTCTGTTAAATATAGAATAGGAACCTACATGACTTCCACTTCTAGTGGAATCATTGCTGAGTACTTGATTCTGATTGTGGATATTGGGACATGAAGGTGCTTATTGTTGTACAATTTCTGTTTCATGTTCCAAGAATTTACTATTTTTGTGAAATGTAATTGATGGTTTCATGTGACCATGGAACTGACCTTATTCCCTTTTAAGCATAGCCTCTAATATCTTTGCAATTATATGTTGAGAGATTCACCTGGTGGTTTAATAAGTTAAGGGTTTTTTTCCTCCAACTTTCTCTCTCATGATGGGGAAGGGAAGGGGAAAGTTTGGCCTGAGTTGTTTGATTGTTTTTCATGCATGGAACTTCAATAAACGGGTTGGTGGACTTATTGTGTTGTATTAGTTGTATTTGATATCATATCTAGTAGTTACAATTCTGTGATGTTGTAGGTTCAGTAATGTCTAATACCTTGTTCAATGGACCTTGGTCCAAGGCATTGTGTCTTCGTACTTTTCAGTAGGAAACCGTTGAACCTGCCTTGTTCTTGCAAATGCAGTCCTCAAAATTTCTAGGGATGACCTCATATATCTCAAACATATCCCAATTGCCGAGGAGTTCTCATTTTTATGCTTCTCATCCACCACATGATGGGTTTAGAAGCCGGTGGTTGTAATTTAGTTTTTGCAACACCAATTTTATTTTCCTCTTTTGGAGCTTCAAAGCGTAGTAGTGAAATAGTGCGCGCTAGTAAAATTTGGTCCATTGTGTCTCTGTTTAATTTGCCTTATAAAGCACAAGACTAATATCAGGTGTTCTTTAAGTCAACTTCCGTCTGAAATTAAGCCGCATGTAAAATTTGGCTCCTACAACATTCATTTTCAAATCAAAATAGCTGAACTCAATCATAAAAAACCAGGCAGAAGGGTGTTGAAGCACCACAACAGCGGGGCTGAAGACGAATTATTATAAAATGAAGTTTATAACGGATTATGATAAAATGAAGTTTATAAGGGAACTCTTATCCCCCTGTTCCTGGTTCAGCCGAATGCCATTGAACCATTGCAATTGGGAGGTGTTGTGTTTATAGAACTTTTGGGTACCATCTGCCATGTCTCCGTGTCAAAATGGTGGTTGGGTGTTCATGTGCTCCCGTGCATGTGAGATGCATTATGGGCTTAGGGCTTCATTTGGTCCTCATTCAAGATTAATTTGGGCTCTAATTTCAGCTTTCACAGGTTTGTTTGTTTGTTTGTGTGTTTTTTTTTTTTTTTTTTTTTTTTTTAATTTTTAAACCTAGTATTAGTAAGAGGAAACAAAGGTAAGTACGAAATAGAAAATAAATAGTTTCATGATGATAATGGGAAAGTACAGTTTGGCAATAATTCCAATTGCAGCTCTAGTAAAATTATCTAAAGAAAATCTAATGGAATTATTAATGAGAGATTATCCTAGAGCTAAGACTCATAATGTTGGCTTATCGTTTACAATGATTTATGCTTGCAGTTCAGATACCATTATACCCAGGGGCGGAGCCTGATTTTTTTGTTCAGGGGAGATGAGATAATTTTTTATATACTAATTTACAAAACTTTTAAATTTTAGGGGAGCAAGATAACTTTTAATATACTAATTTACAAAGATTTTCAAATTTCAAGGAGGCTAGTGCCCCCCTCGCACCCCCCTCCCTTTGCCACTGATTATACCACATGTAGCAATGTGAAATGAATACCTCTAGATTTGGATTTGAATAATGATAAATAGACCAAAATTTAAGCTTAAAATCTTGAACTAATATCGTGTCATTTAAAATAATAAAAAGGTAAATCTTATATTATTTAATTATTAACTATTTTTATTTTTTTGAGACTTGTGATATTATTTGTATCAATTAATTTCATGACGTGATATAAAACATGTCATTGACCCAAATTTTCATCTACTCTATCATTACTCTTTAGATTTACATACCTAACCTCACCTTTTTTAGTCTCAATCTCAAAAGTCCTCAACTGAATTACTTTCTTATTCTGATCTTATCAAGAAGTAGAAGAGTATGGATATCTTTCCCGGTCACACCTTTCTTAGTTGTATATTTGATCCCTTGTGATGTTGTAAAATTTACCCTGTCAAGCACAGGACTAGCGTTGAGTGGTCATTTAAATCAACTTTCATCTCTAATTAGCTTCATGTATAACTCTATAACAACCATTCATTTTCAATACAAAGGTTAAAAATCAATTCATATAAAACCAAGTAGAAGGATACATAGAGGAGAGTAGGGGTTATATATAAAAAATTAATTAATGAGGATTACTTCTATCCACGGGTAGTGGCTTAAGTAGCAAAGCCATCTAAGCACTCCCGAATGAATACCCAACCCCAACGGCCACCTGCATCCCCTGTAACCAAAAAGCAAAAGCTTTCTAGTTCAACCTGATGCCATGCACTCATTGAGCCATGAACACTAATAACTAAAACTGGCTAAATTTTTTTTTTTTTAAAAAATAATAATAATTGTTTGTAAAATGAACAATAATTATTCAAGTTCAATTACAATGTTTTATGTCTGATGTAACGTGTAAGCTTTCATAGCTCTCATGTAATTAATTACCACGAAATGAATTTTGCATCCTTGTCTGGAAGCTTCAGACTCAATTCATATACCTAAC